CCTCAGCAAAAAAAACCTAAGCAGGTGGTATCACATTACCAGACTTCAAACTTTACTATAAAGCTACAATAATCAAAACAACTTGGTATTGGTACAGGAACAGGCATATAGACCAATGGAATAGAATTGAGATTCCAGAAGCAAAACCTCAATTTCTCAACCAACTTATCTTCAACAAAGCCTCCACCACCTACCACTGGGGAGAGGAGAACCTATTCAGTAAATGGTGCTGGGAAAACAGACTGACCACATGCAGAAGACTCAAACAAGAGCCCTATCTATCCCCATACACAAAAATTAGCTCTAAATGAATCAGAGACCTAAATGTAAAACCTCAAACCATAAGAACTTTAGAATATGCAGGACACACCCTTATGGAAATTGGAACTGGCATCTAATTCCTGAACAAAACCCAAAACGCACAGACCATAAGAGATAAGATAGACAAGAGGGACCTCATTAAACTGACAAGCTTCTGCAAAGCCAAAGAAACCATCAAGAGAGCAGGAAGACAGCCCACAGACTGGGAAAAAGTATTTGCCAACTCCATGTCTGACAAAGGCCTAACATCTTGGATCTACAAGGAACTCAAGTGTGCTGAAAAGAAAAAACAAACAACCCCATCACAAAGTGGCAAAAGATATGAATAGACACTTCACAAAAGAAGACATATGAGTGGCCAACAGACACATGAAGAAATGTTCAGCCTCACTAATCATCAAGGAGATGCAAATTAAAACTACACTGAGATACCACCTAACTCCAGTCAGAATGGCCATTATCAATAACTCAAAAAATAACAGATGCTGGAGAGGATGTGGTGAAAAGGGGACACTTACACACTGTTGGTTCCACAGCCTCTGTGGAAAGCAGTGTGGCGATTCCTAAAAGCTATAAATGTCGACCTCCCATATGACCCTGCAATCTCCCTACTGGGAATATACACTGAAGAACTCAAATCACTCTATAGAAAAGATACCTGCACATGTATGTTTATCGCAGCACTGTTCACAATAGCAAGAACCTGGAACCAACCATGCTATCCATCAAAAGAGGACTGGATTAAAAAAAAGTGACACATATACATGATGGAATACTACGCAACCATAAAAAAGAACAAAATCATGAATTTTGCAGCAACCTGGATGGAACTAGATTCTATAATACTGAGTGATCTTTCACAGAAACAAAGATCTGAGTATCACATGTCCTCACTTGTAAGTGGATGTTGAACATCTATCGTAATACTATGTGAAAAGGATCAATAGTGGTGGGAATCTATGCTGTGGGGGGGATAGGGAGGGCAAGTGTGGTGGGATTAATGGTAGTCAATATCTGTCTGGGGATGGGGGGGGATATCCCTTATCAACCAGGGTGCCGGAACGATGCATATTTGTATCTCTAACCCTTAACCATACCCCACAATTTTAAAATAAAAAATATGGTTTAGAAAAAAAAAGCAATTTGTCATCAAAGGAGCAATATGGAGGCATATTATGGAAAAAAGGACCTTATCTGTGACAGATTTTATTTTCCAAAGATACACCACAGTATCACCCAGTCTACGTGCTCTTCTGAAATGTGGTGTTGCAAACTTTCCATCAAGAGGTGGGATCTGTGTTCCCCCTCCTTGAATCTGGGCAGCCTTGTGACTGCTTTGATAATAGAGAATGGTGGAGATAACTCTTCTTGGATCTGTGGTTTGATGTCTATTACTAACTTTGGAAATGTCCTAACCATTATTTCTTTAGCCTCATTTTCTTTTTTTTCTCCGCCTAGAACTCCGCTCATGCATACTGCTTGACATTGTCCCACAGACTATTAGATCCTTGGGTTTATTTTCTCACCTTTTCCATCTATGTGCCATAGTGTGGATAATTTCTATTAACCTATCTTCCAGTTCACTTTTTTCTTCTGTTATGTCCAGTCTGCTGAATAGCATTAAAAAAAAAAAAACTCTAATTGTATTTTTTCATTTTATTTTCATTTTTTCCAAGAATTTCAATCTTTCTGCTGAAACTCACCCATATGTTCCTGCATGTTTTCACTAAATCTTTTAATACATCATGTTCACTTTTCAAGACATGTCTGATAATTCTAATATCTCTGGATCTGCGTCTCCTGATCAATTCTTCTTTTGATCATAGGTTAAATTTTTTTGATCATCCAAGTCTTTCACAATTTTTGATTGTGTCCAATAATATGTATAAAAGGAAAATCAAGCCTGAAGTAAGTAATATTCACCCCCCAGAAAATGTCATATCTCTTATTCTCTCAGGCTGCTAATGTGGATGACTAAGTCAATCTGAATTTCAGTTGAACTGGGTCAGGGTTTGTTATAGGTATAGTAGATTTAGTTCATCATTGGCTTCAAATATTCTTGAGATCATGGCCAAGACTTTCCTTTTACAGAAAGGAGGTTTGCATAGAGATCTCTTTGTTCTTTATGGCCCAGCCATCAGCTTTCTGAGCCTTGGAAGATCACTGTGCTTTACAACGTTTTGTTTGTCTGGAAATAATCTGGGCTGTCCAGTCATGTCCTTGGCTTTCTGTACCTTGTGAGATCTCTACTTTGCTGTTTTGTCCCAGCCTTTGGAGGCCTCTTGCAATATACCATAAAGAGAGTCTTCTTTTCTGCTCCTCCCTTAGCCTTGGACTAGGTAAAGGCTCAGATTGATTTGCAGTGATTTTTCTCATCTCTTCTGTCTTTACCCCAGCTTTTAGCCACTATCTCATACTTGGGGAAGGCCCATGCACCTTGATATAGTTGTGAAGGGAGAATCTCTCTCAAGAACTCTTGACTGACCTTGGTATTGTAGCTTGTATTGTAGCTTACAAGTCCTGTTCTAAGTGAAGGCCCATGGGTTAGAGCTGGCAAGTAGTTGTAGACTCACCGTGGGTTTCCTTGGATTATTAACTGTCATATTGGTCCACATAAAGGCGTTAAATGATGGTTAAATGTTCACCTAGTTTCTCCCTATCTCTCTATAGTAACACCTTCCTTCTACAGCCAATCTACAAGAGAGTAAAATGACTCTGTGTGTGTGTGAGTGTGTGGTGTGTGTGTTTCCCTAATAATATCCCATTACTTTCTGGATTTTAGATCCTTTTGATCTAAAAGCACCTCAGTTCTCTGATAATTTTTGTTGTTGTTGTTGTTGTTGTATCATTTTGTAGCTTATCTAGTGTGTTCTTGTTAGGTGTGGGAGCAAATGACTTTTTGAAAATTTCTACATCCAAATCAGAAGAAATCCCCACATGTCTGTTTGCAGTGGTTTCTCTTGTTTCTTCTGTCAAAAGCCACAACTCCCATCAAACAACCCTCCTGCAACTATAGCTCTTATTTAGCTTCTACAATTGCTCCCTTAAATTACTCCTCAGACTTAAGGATATTTAGAACTTCCTGCTTTTACTAGCTGTGTGCTGCTTCACCATCCTTTTTTGGTTTCCTTTAACCTTGTCCACACTTTGAAAATAGTACCTCTGTTAAACTCTCCTCAATTGTGCTAGTTGAATGAGCCATTTTCTTCCTGCCGAGTAACTAACTGATAGGTGCTGCTTCTCTGAGAAAAAGAAAGTGATTCATCCCATAGGGAGTTCATAAGGAAGGCAAAGAGAGAGTTGCCATAGTTGGTTGAGTAATGGTTGAAGTGGTAGTAATGTAATGTTGGTGATACCCAGGAATAGAAAGAGGATGAATAGATTTCCCTGTTTACACCTCATTGTTAGTAAATCTCTGACTTTTAAAAAGAAAAGCTGAGCATAAAAGTGTTGTTTGTCCATGAGAGTCTATTTCCATGCTAACTTTTAGAATATTTCTGGGTATGTAGAAAATGTTAACATGGAATACAAAAGCTAAAGAATCAATGAGGTCTTGTTGGTGTGGGATTAGCAGAGGTAAGGAGAGGCTGGAAGAGGAAGCAGAGAATTCTAAGACAACAAATTGTTTTAATCAGCTGCAATGGTTTATTTAACACAAATTTAGCATTTGCAGACACATAATTTACTCAGTATAAATCTTTAGGTTCCATGCAATTAATCTAAATTTGAAACTCTCTTTATAAAAGCTTTTTTTTTTTTGGTAGAAGGAACTATGAAATAACCAAACTTTTATTAGCATAGCTTAGTGCCTGGGACACAGTAGGTGTTTAGAAAATGTTAGCTAAACTAAACCTAGCCGACATTTACTGAGCCCTATTTATTGCACTCTGCAAAAAGCACTTGACATACTTTTAATGTACTGATTTATAGGTGAGGAATTGAGGCTACAAGATGCATCCACAAGAAGCAATCAAGTGGTAATGAATTTACTGAGGTGAAGACTGTTATTTAAAGATTTTCACAGCTCTTTCTGTGAAAAAATAAGCTTACTGAAATTCAAGACTGAAACATAAAAATAACTCTCTTGATTTTCTTTTGTATGCATGTACTCATAAAGTTTATTAATATTTTGCAAATTCTCGTAGGGTAAGTCCTTCTGACCTGACACTGGTCTGAATTCTAGGTCATGTATTTACCTATTTTCTGAGAGAGGCAGAGATTTCATTCTCTTTTTATTTTTTCTCCCTTTATTGCCCCTCACTTGATTCCTCTTTTAAATCTTTCACATCTTTCATTCACTACTTCCTGTCTGGCTGCCTTCATTCAAACAAAGCCAGGTACTTAATTTTAAAATCTCATTCAAAATGGTGCCACGTCATCCGCCTGTGCCAAGAAACCAGGGGTGCTGTCCTATTTCTCCCTGCCAGCGTGGATCTCCTCCGAGCCCCGCCCCCCTCCTCACCTGCTTCCCAGGAAACGCTACCGAGGCCGCCCGGCCCTAGCGCTCCCTCCCCCACCTCTCGGTCCCCTCCCCCCGCCCCGGGACCGCCCCGCCCCTCCCCTCCCGGATCCCGGACGGCAGGGCGCATTGATTTGCATATTTCTACCTTTGTTCCCGGCCGGCGGCCAATCATCGCGCGGGGCGAGGCAG